CTGCAAATAGCTGCCTCCTATAACGTCCTCCAGCATACACAGGCATCTTCTCTTAGGTGCCTCACTTGGATTTCTTGCCTGAGCTGACTCAAAGGCTGAGATTGTGCATACTGGGTTACGTGGTACTCTGGCTTCTTTTGACAAAGCAATAGGAATGGAAGCAGTATGGCTATGTCACCCTCTAAGCTCACTGTTGGGTGGTCTAAACCAAGAAGTAGTGCGTGGGAGCAAACAGGATATTTGCTTCACACCCATGTACTGCAGTGTTCTGGTCCAGAGCAGTAAACACAGGCCAAGTCCACAGAGGTGATTTCTTTAGTTCAGGTGGTGGCATCACTTTCCTCTGATGCAGAATGTCCCAAGTGCACTCTCAGGGGTGACTTTCTGCTACAACAGCACTTTCAGAGCGGCTTACTGAGAATGGCAGAACTCTAGCATGTTATAAATAGCTCTTCTGTAAAGAAGCAGTTCAGAGATGCTCTGTGAGGTCTCCCACGGAATGAATGAGACACCTGCCAGTGACAGCTTAGTTTAGTGTGATCTGTCTCTTGGAAAGGTTTTGGACTGGCTGATTTCTTGAGAACCCTTGGAGCCCAAACTTGCAGGATTCTAAACATCTTTATGTTCACCCCCATCACAACAAGTGTTTGCCTTTCTTTTCTTTCCTTCCCAGGTCACCAGTTTACTTACTTCTTCTAAGCAGCAGCATGCCTCTCGAATGCAAAGCATTAAAGCCACCCCACTAATCACAGAAGGGTTAAAAACATGATTGGTGGGCAAAGACCCCCCCTTTTTTCTGCAGGGTTGGTTGAAATTGTGAATAGAGACTGACAGCTTGCCTGAGTGTTTGTGGTTCAATTTGAAACCACAAGACCCAGAAGCACATGGTTTAGATTCAGTGTCTTTCTCTAGCTAACGCGAACCATTTGTTCAAGCAGCTTGGCTATCTGCTGGAGAATAGTTTTGCACCAGGATCAGCCTTGATTCACCCCAGACGGCCACATATATTCAGATGGAAGCCCAAAGAAAAAAAAAGGGAAGAAATTCCCAAACAAAGGCTTGCATTTACTTTTCCTTGTTTATTTTTGCAGCTTGTAAAGGAGCTACTAATATCCTGGTTAAAGAAAATGTGAAATGCCAGTCAAAAGCAGCACCAAATGAGGCTGTGTTTACTGCAAAGCTGTGTTTTTCACTGCCATTTCTAAGGCAAATTCCTGTCAAACAGTAGTGTCAGGCAGGGCACGGAAAGAACTTAAGTCTTCACTTAAGAGACTTAAGTAACTCAACAATATATTTGGACCAATCTTCTCAAGTTTGGCTGTATAAAATGAGGCACATTTTACACATGGAATAAGGCTAAAGTTTAGTCAATGAGCTTTCACATGGGAAGCACTTAAATATAAACTTAACACAAGTCATTCACTTTAAGTCCACTGTGTGCAGAAGACCATAATCTTAAGTGCTTTACTGCTTCTAATAAAGGCATAAAGGTTGAACACCTCTGCATCAGGCTGAACTTGCTAAGAGGAGGGGGAATCAAGTGGGATAAGTAGTTGGAAAGTGTATGTTTCTTGTCTACTCATTGATGACTTGCTCTGCCTTCTAATCGCTTGTCATTTATCACTATGTTATCATCATGTTGCTTCGGTATTACTCATCCCCGGCTGAAAGGAGCTGATGCTGCTATAGAAAGCAGGACTTGCCACAACAAGGCGTTCTATGGGCAAAAGAACAGGCAGTACAGCTTGATAGGAAGCAGATTATACATTTAAGTCTTTACCTTTCATATATCACATGAAGACATACGTATTTCAAATCCGAAATAGGCTTTCAACGACCACCAAGAACTAAAAAGGGAAGGTGAGCTAAGGTAATATTTGCTTCCTTGAATTTAAGCTATCTGCAATAAGGTTAATTAAGCTACACTTGCAAGCAACTCTTTCCATCTCCATTGTCCGTCTCGGGGCAGAAGGATTTTCCAAGCACAGTGTAATGGATAGGAAGCACCAAAGGGTGGGAGCACTCCCCTTTCCCACTCGGGAACGTGCAGGCTGATTTACACTTGCACACACACTAAAATGAGGTAACATCATGGCATTCAGGCCCAATGAGAAGAGGTAATTTGATGAATTACTGTGCTGAGGAAATAAACCCACTGTTCAGTTACCCCAAATCACACGTATTAGGGCTGAAATGAATTCTCCTAAAGCAATTCCTTATCATCTAGCCCCCAGGATTACTTGTTTTACCTTTCTCCTTCTTGATATAAAACTGGTTCTGAGATATTACGTTACAATAGAGGGAACCACCTCCTGTACTCCGAGGTGAAGTAGCTTGGAAGAAAGAAAGAATACTTCCCTGCTATGTCTCTCTATCTCCTAGTTAGGAATAAGTGACCGTAAAATCTGTGTATGTGTGAAACCACAATATATTCCCCTGTTCTGTCATTAAAAGCCACTCACAACATAAATGTGAATCAGAGGTGGAGTGCATTCAGTGGCGGGGAGGAGCATGTGATTATGTACCATGAGTTTACTTCCAAGAAAAGATTGTATTTCTGGGAATTCAAAATAACATATATATTATTTTAGTATTATGGGAATATTGAAAAGACTTCTGATGTTACTGCTTTTTAAGCTACTATATAATCACAGTATAATTTTTATTAACAAAAAGACTTTATAGCTTCAGAGACGTGCAGCAGTCATTGCAAAGCTAATGAAGTGAGCATGAGGCTTTAAAGGCTGAGATACCCTGTAGGTATATCAGGAAAACTGCCTTGGCAACTTCAGAGCCGAATAAAAGGGCAGGTTTAAGGTTAATGCCTGTCGTTTAAGCCATTTGGCTGGGCAATGGGAGCGGGGCTACACTGAGCTATTCACCAGAGACACACAGCGAGCCCCCTTCTCTTCTACTTCCCTCCTGTTTCTTTAGGCCTCCAAAAGGTTTTCCACCCTTAATTTATATGATCGCCTGTTGTGAAAGAGAGGCCTAAGATAATGGTGTTTTGCTCCTGAAGTTTGTGTGATAAAAGCAAGTGTGAATGTGTGCCAGGTTGGATGGGGCTTGAATCAGCCTGCTCTAGTGGAAGGTGCCCCTGCCCATGGCAGGGGATTGGAACTGGATGGGCTTTAAGGTCCCTTCCAACTCAAACCATCCCATGATTCCATGAAAAAAAACCTTCCTGGTAAGCTTCCTGAAATGGCACAACAAGTAGGTGGAAAGAAAAGCTTGAACCCTTCAGTTATGAAAGCATACATCTGACTCCAAGCAAGCACTTGGGCAGTAACATCCAGAATACAGTCTTGCCTGATTTGATTTCCTATCTGTTTATTTTATTTGGACACCAGTGGGTGCTTGTTAGTCCTCACCATTGTGACTGCTAATGGCTTTTCATTTCTTTCTTACAGAAGGGTTTTATTTAATGGATCAATCCCAATCTGCTGGGAAGAGAAACTGTGTCCCTGACATCTGCCATGTGCTCAGTGATAAGTAATCCACTACACAATCACATGGAGAAAGAAGGAGGAGCTTGGCAAGAAGATGGGCTTGTCTAGGAGGTCTGTTCCATCTTGAAGAACAGTGAAACTCCTCCAGATGTGGCATTTCCCTTATGTAGTGTCACATAGGTGAGGCTGGAATGGCAGCCTTGTGCTTCCATAGTTCATTATGGATATACAGGCAGAGGAAGCATCATGGCATACCAAGAGCCTTACAACATGACAGTCTCTTTTCTAACCATAGGAAGGACAAGCAATGCAAACTGCTTAATTCTTAGAGTGTTCTGTTTCCATTTAGTGTGTTTTGCTTGCAAACGTGGCTTCAAGTGGCTGGGATTATCAGACTCCTTTTGATGAATGATATTATGACAAGTTACTTCAGCTGTTTTTTCTATTGGGAGAAATCATGTTTATGGAAACACAGAAGGGAGGAAAAGATAGCTTCAGGTTTAGGTTTTACTTTCCTATAAATAAAGCAGCCTGAGCTGTGTCTCATTTGGCAATGGAATAATTTTCTGTAGCAAAAGTAATAAAAAGATCAGGATGATATTTGACTAAAATAAGATAAACCCCCAAAATATTAAATTAATAAAATCAAATAATATCGCTTTTACCAGCATGGGAAACTTTTACTCTTAAAAAGCTGAAAGAGTTCAGTGTTACAGCTCTCAAGAGAGCTCCGAAAAGTTTCCCTCATTTTAGTGAAAGTGCAGCTACCTCCTGTGGATAAGAAGAAGGAGCCTGGTCTGGGACTTGCGGCGTTCATGTGAATACAATTAGTTCACTTTGTGCAGTGGAGTGGTACCGACAGAAACAAACCCAATAGTTATTTACATTGTGATTCTAGCTGTGGCTTTGCTTGTTATAAAGGCAGTGCAGTTACATCAGCAAGTAATTAATTACCCATTAATAATTTTTAACCTAAGATGACTGCAGACCTGATTCTCATCCAGGTTAAGGCTCCTTTTTGCATGCTACTGAAGCAGTGTGCAGCATCACACTCTATATGTCCCTGCAGGCATCTGTCCTTTATAGCACATCATTTCTATTTGTGGCAAGACAGATGAAATACAACGGGAGATACAGCCCTACCTGATCATCAATGCACTATTTCAGTATTTGATTGAAGGGAAAGGCATCTCTATAAACTACAAAGGGGAAATAGCTGAAGCAGCAAAGCCATGGAGAGATGAGCTGGAAGCTTTAAGGTTTCATGCTATGGACATCATCTACTTTATGGTGGTGCACAAGGAGGAGGGAGGGTGCAAGGGGTGCCGGTGACCTCAGCCACCCCAGACATACATCTGAGTCCAGGTTACAGCTGACTGGAATCCTGAGATTTCCCTGGCCAGGAGCCAGTTCGAAACCCACTCGAGCCACCCTGGTATTTTATAGCATTGTAAAGACCATATTGTTTCAACCAGTTCAAAAATCCTCCACACAATCTGGCAGCCTCCCAAAACCGTCTTAAATGAGCCAAAACTATCAGCAGCCACCCACCTTCCTGTCCATTATCCTCTGATTAATGACATTCCACCGACAGGGTCCGACATTCAGAATCTCCCTGCTGCAGGACCTCTGCATAAATGTGATCTCGGAGACCTGTAAATTGTCTGTATAGTTTGCAGCTGTGTTTTATATGGGGGTGTCTCTTTGTCATGTGGTGACCATGCAGGAGGGGGTTTCTTAAGGGGTGGAGAGAGACCAGGGCTTGCAGCATCTTGTAAAACCTTAATTAGACACAGCAAAGGAGGAGAAATCCAATCACGCTGGAGGTGTGATCCTCTTGTTTCTGTGATTGGTTTTGTGCTCCTTATCCAGCCACCTTGTACCTTCTGAGTCAGAACAGCCACAATAAGATCAAGGGTAAGAAAGAGCCAACCTCTTCAGGTGGAATTAATTGCTGAACAGATTAACTCCATTAGGCAATTAGTTAGAGGATCAGTGTTATTTACCTATCTTGATTACTGGCCATGTGCTCCCTTATGCAGTGTGGATGCAGGATATTTTCCAAGTGAGATGCTTGCAGACAGATATTGTGGTACCTAGGCCAGCCCAGGAATAAAGAAATAGTCCTACTAGTAATAATATCTTCAATTAGTATTTCTCAGTCATAGGACATTTCCATTTCCCCCCCTTGTGATATTGTATTACCTGACTGCCTGGAAAGGGGAAATCCAAAGTAAAACCATGAGTGAAAGGGATATTACTTTGAAGTCAGTAGCTCACACTTATGAAATGTCTCAGAGATTCTGCATTGCCCTGGGCCTGTGACAGCAGATGAGCAGAACATCTGGCTTGTGACTTCAACAGGAGCCGGGCATTGAGATACTTCTAATCTGGAGTGAGATGCCTCTGATTTTACGCAGAGAATCATTTCTTCATGATAACTTCTTTTCCTAAAGTGTTATTCTTTCAGCAAAGCAGGCACAGGAGGCGTGTAGGTATATGTTGTACAGTTCCTTCAGTAGATTTAAGGTTTATGTCCTGGGCATGCATGCTCCCCTCCATTCAGAATGTGGTGGTGTATGTGCATAGACGAACGTTTCTGGGTGCATGCATACCTGAATCTCCGTGTGTTTGTGTACATTCTCACGTCTATATCAGTATATAGAACAAGTATATATAGAAGCACATCATATGACTTTTCAGAAAGCTTTATTTCCATGAGGAGCTACAGAGTACATTTGCACTCAGCAGTGACTCATCTAACTCTTTTTTTTTTTGCTTTGGTCCTGCTGAATCCAAGAAACTCTGAGTAAGTGAGCTCTGCCACGTCCCAAGTGTAGCAGGGATTCCTCACAGTCCTCGATGCAAACACAACTAGTAATTCTCCTCAGAAATAGCAAGAAATTGCTATTTGCGGGCTCATGCTTTACGCAATGATGACCTTGGCTGAGGCAACCCGAATGGAAAGGGCCGCGGCGCATGAAGTCAGTGCCACTGTGGTAAATAAAGGCAGCGCCAGGGAGGCCCGGTTTCAACATCGCCTGGCAGATGCAGCACAGCTGGGCAGGGGCACCGTGTGTATGAGCTGTGTTTTCTTAGCAGCAGTCTGGGAACCTCATGGCGCTATGTCACAGGGAGACAGGCCAGTTCTGGATCTCTGCTGCTTCTTCATGTGCAGACCCTTCTAGCTGTTCGAAAGAGCCATAAACCAAACTGATGGGCTACAGAGATAGACTGGGAGCAGGCTGACGCCTGTTTGTCAGTGCCAGGCTAATGTGACTTCAGAGGATTGCACATATTGACTGAAAGAAATAAGAACAAAAAATATGGAGAGTCTGTTTCAGCACTCCAAGCTGGCATTGAGCAGTCATTGAGTGAGACAGGTTCTAGACTGTGATTTAGACTCAAACGTACCATTTTAGATAGTGACAGTCAAATAGGTGCGTGCCTTCAGCCTGTGAAACCCGATTACATGTGTCAAGGTTTCTACCAGCAATCTTAACTCAATCAAAGTAAACCAAAACGTAGCTCAGGTTCATGAAGAAGGCTAACTAACCTCATGGCAGCTTGCTCTACCTGCTGATTTGTAAGCTGATCTGTCTTTTTTTTCCCTGTAAATCCTTAGGTAGCATCACGAGTAGCCAGTACCCATCAGGTGCCTTATTTGATCGTTACAAATCAGTCATTGATCACTGCAAATCAGAACTGATCATTACAAAATCAGTCTGGGAGAAACCAGGACCCAGATTTGCCTTTTTCCTGTGGGCAGATGATTCTCTTCCCTCTGATCCTCTCCTGTCCCTTTGACTAGGGGCACTCCATTCTTCAACATCCACCACATCTGGGTTTTGCCACCTGTGGAATAGCTGTGATCATTTCCTTCTTGATACACACACATTGCAAGACAGTTACATTTTCATCCCAGATCCATACACAGGGTAAGAGTGGATCTCTTGATGAATTTGCCATAGCTCACTTAGCTTCATTCTGTTGTTTTTCCTCTCTGACTTTTCCCACATCTGTTTACTGTGTGGCTTCTTCACTGAACAGGCCGTATACTCATTACCATAAGAAATAATGTTTCATTGGAAGAAATACTGTCTCAGAAACACACTCCAGGTATATAATCTTGCTGTTTCTCCCTTGGTTCTCAGCTTGCTTTCATCAGGACAGTTTAGTTAAAATGATATTACCTCTCCTGGGCACACTTCACAGGAGCTTTACAGTGATGATGAATAAAACAACTGTGGCGAGACTGCAATAAATTAATTGCACCATTTTATATGAGTAAGGGAATGGGCAGGAGCCCTGAGACTGAAACAAGAATCTGACCATGACTTGGGATTCGTGGTTGAAAGGCTGCTATGAAAAAGAGAAAAGATCTCATAGCAGGAGTGGGAAAAAAGGGTTTGGGGGAAAAACCAAAGCGAGCCCAGCACATTGTGGTTAATAATAAGCAATTTGGAGTCTCCGTTTCCATTCAGCCAAGTATGTGGAAGATCTGAATTTCTAATTTAGCAATTGCATTTTATGAGATGCAGAAAGATTTTATGAATCTGTGTCTCTCTGACTCGTATTGGCTGGGAGCGGATTGTCCAACTGTATTACAGGAGCCATCCAACAATTAAAGGCTACTTTGAGAGCCAAGGGGGAGATGCTAATCCTTCTAGCTTTTGTTTTGTCTCAAGGAGGATCTAAGTTCTGGCACTGCTGCTACAGGTCACTACTTACACTGACAAATTTACCCCTTCAGGTGTGCTCCCTGTGCTGCTGTGTTGATTAAACACCAGCTCACTCTTAGTCTGTAGTGGGAAGGCTGAATTTTACCCAGGTTAATAGAATATGTATTAGAAATTGCCCAATCAGCATGTGCAGCGTGGAATCAGAAACGCTCGCACAAATCAAGGCCACAGAGATAAGAGACGACGAGTGGTGAAACGCAGTGTGAGATGGGTTATACAGGATCATCCTCCTGCTGTGACATGTCAAATAAGACAAGCAGCCAAACACAGTATGGAAGCACTCGTGAGAACAGAAGGGGAGCATTGCTTGTGTCAACATCCAGTCCTAATCCTCCAGGTTTCATGGCACAGTAAAATATCCTGGTGTAGGTGCAGCTCCCTGTGTTCATGAGGATGCCTGCTCACAGCACAGGGAAATGGGGGTTGTCCCTGGGTCCTCCTGGTGCTGGCACTAATCTGCCTTGTCAGACACCACTGCATTGCCGACAGGAAAATGCAGATTTAACGAGGAATACTGCCAGTGAATACCGGGGCAAGGGAGCATTTTGCGTTGGGAAGTCCCTGGCATGGGAAGTCCTTCATGCCATGACACGAAGTCCTGACTCTGTTTGGGCTGCAGCTGTTTTGCAATTGGGTTGCTGTTGTTTTCTTGTGGTGCAAGAAGGTTTCTGAAAGGTCCCAGTGAGACGCTTTCCTCTGACATCCCCCTTTCCTGGGGTGGTTGTGTAGACTGACATGCCCGTCCTTTGCTGCTGCTGTCTCTCAGCTACTTCAGATGAGGTAAGAAAGCAGCTTCTCTATTGCCATCAACAATACAGAAGAATAGAGCAGAAGGGAAGGGGAAGGGGGTTTGGACTGCGTGTGGTGCGTCACAAGGTCTGTTTGGAGCTGCAGTGTGGAGAGGACTGCCCCTTCTGCACATGGCTTGGCTGATGGGGACAGAGAGGGGCTTATGGATGCTCCACGTCAGGGCAGTGATATGGTGAGTTTCCCTGGTGTATTTCTAACAGTGACATACTCACCTGATGTATTTACACACATGCAGCATACCTGAGACAGACATTATTGCTGATTATCCACTGATTTTCCAATCAAGGGGAAAAGCCAGCACTGCTATTTTTAAGTTATGCCATGCTTGCCTGTTAGTGCACTGTCACAATCCAGCTTTTTATACCTAAATATAGCTACTACTGCAGATACCTTGAATTTTGAGTGTAAACCCCTGAACTTTCACAGTTGTCAATGGAACATGGGAAATTCTCCTGCAGGATTTGATCTGTAGTTCTCAGAGTCAGATGCTGTTCGGTGCCTGAGCTGGACTGGCCTCACTGCCAGAGAGGTGAGAGGTGGTGTCCTCAGCTTCCAATGGATAAAATAAACCAAAACCTGAACCACAAATGTAGGCACTGAGAGGGTAAAAAAAAAATAAATCCTATTCCTTGAACCTTTCTTTTTTGATGTTTAAAGACTTCCTGAACTGACTGGTAAATGGTTTTTCCAGCATTTCATCCCAGGACAGGCTGGGAAGCGGGAGGTAGGATTTGGTACAGGGAGTTATGAAGTGTGCAGTGTAGTGACGATAGGCAGGTAACAACTTCTGGTGGTAATACCAGGGCTTGTAGTGGAGCCTAAATCCAGGAAAGGCCTTCTCCCTTTAACCAAAGATCAGTGAGAGGGGCTGGTGCCAGCAGACCGTCAGGTATCACTCGATGGATTACCTCTGATTGCTTCACAGGGCTCGGGCATCACCTTTTCTCTGAGGTAGCCAAGTGTTAGAAAAGCGTTTGGATGTTGGCTCAGAAGCAGGATGGGGAGATGACAAAGTTTCTGCTGGTGGAGCTGCAAAAGACATAGGGAAAGCAAGCTGTACAGACTGGTGGGAGAGGTGAGAGAAACC